ACAAAGCATATACGATGAAATCATGACAAAACATTTACGATGAAATCATGACAAAACATTTATGTTATACAGTAATGTTAGTCATGAATTATTGGCATGAATGAACATTGCAGGAATGACATATACAACCTATGCTCACGAAAGCCTTACACAAAAGCAATACAAATGATAGAACATAAGTGTCTAAGGTCAGCAAATGAAATCATTACTGTCAGTGGTTATGAAAGAACTGTTAGCAAAGATGAGTGGAAACAGCTATTCATATTAAGGAAGGACGTTGCTGAATTAGTTAAACCTGTTGCACAAACATTGTTTCAGATAAGACCAGCAATGACTAAGAACCCTTTGACCTTAGTCAATGAGACCATAGAGGTTGAAGATAATGACATGAAAGAACTAGGAATGAATGAGAGAAGTTGTGAAGGATGTTTGAGTCAAAACACATGGTTCTTCAGAGCTGTTAAGAAACTTAGTAAAGAACGACAGAAATATTTTATAGAGAAGTATTGCAAAGGATGTGTAAATGAATTGCTTGAAATAGAACTTAGAGACACTTTCACACTAAAGGACTTGAGGAAAAATAAGTACATGAGTGAGGACGGTATTGACATAGCTAGTGTTATAAATGACTTAAGAAGATGTGTTGTTGTTATTGACGGAGCACGTATGACATATCTAGTGAAAGATTATGATGGAATACGAGACACAACAACACTTGTGTCAGTAGATAGCAAGGAATTCAATAAGCTCATGAAGAGTATTTATGTAGGACGTATTGAGGAGAAGGATGTGAACGCACTGATGATTTATGAAGCGGGGTCAGAACAAGAACTATCTTATGAAGTCAGGCATGAGATTCTTTGACGAAAGAGATGACATTTACAGCTATTTCAGAGGATATGAGTATGAGGTACTGAATGAAGTAGATGAGAACGTTATTGAAGGATATTTGAAACATGTTCACGATGTCATATGTAATGAGGATGAAGAGCTTTATGAGTATGTTTTGAACTGGTTCGCCTACATCGTTCAAAATCCTTGTGGAAAGACTGGAACAGTACTTTTGTTAATAGGAAAGCAAGGAACTGGTAAGAATGTACTTAGTAATGTTCTATGCGAGCTCATTAGCAAGTACGCAACAATAATATAACGGCAATAGAGAATGTGGTTGGTAGATTCAATGCTGCTATTGAGAACATGAAGCTCATCGTATGCAATGAACTAAGCTCATGCGATACGTCTAAGGTCATGAACCACGACGCACTAAAGTCAATAGTAACAGAGACTCAGTTGGACTTAAATCAGAAGTGTCAGCCAGTAAGAAAGATAGAGAATGTTTGTAATATCATCATGATATCTAACAACTTCAACTCAGTAAAGATTGACAAAGACGACAGAAGATTTGTTGTCATTGACGTAAGCAGCAGATACAAAGGAAATTACGAATATTTCTCAAATCTCATTGAAAGCTTTAATGAAGAGTTTTATTCAAACTTACTGACGTACTTCATGAAGAAAGATTTAAGTGAATTTGATGTAAGGAAGATACCATTCACCAGGGCTAAACAAGAACTCATCGAAATGAACAAAACACCTTACCAAATGTTTTACGAGGAGTTCTATGAAAAGTTTGTATCCGGATGGAATTGTACAGAGTGCTACAGAAGATATAAAGAATTTGCGAAGGAGAATGAATTCTTTGCATGTAGTTCAAATGTATTTGGCGGCAAGATGAGAGAATTTGTGAAGAGAAGTAGAAAGCGAGACGGTTCTGCAAGAAGTTATATTTACGAAGCAAGTATGTTATTAGAAGGTCGTGGAAAGAAAGAAACAGTGAATTATGAGGAAGTGCTTGAAAAATTCATGGAGTACATGGGAAGCAATATAACATACAACAAAGACATATACAGTGAGTTTAAGTACTACTGTGAACAGCATGAGATTGAAGTAATGAGTAAAGGAGACTTTGAAACGCTTATGAAAGACAGTAAGGAGGTCATACATGAATGCAATGATGAAATAGTTCACGAGAACAGTGAGGAGGTCATACATGAATGCAATGATGAAATAGTTCATGAGAACAGTGAGGAGGTCATACATGAATGCAATGATGAAATAGTTCACGATGTCGTTCTGAAGAAGCCATTGCAACAAAGAATGAGATAAAGGATTTCATAGAACTTAACAAGGAGGAGTTTAAAGAAGGCTATGAAGTGAAAAGATGTGAAGAAGATTTCTTGGCGTATTTGAAGAAAAAGAGACTAAAGCCAATGGCTCAAAATAAGTTTCAATCGATGTTTTGAAAAGAAACGTTTGAGCTATGGTGGTGTAAGAAGCACATATTACTTTGTTAAGAAGTGAGGACATTTATTTTTTGTCGTTAGTGTTGGAGTTTTGTATTTGTTGTTAGTGAGAGAATAAATTAAATCATGAACTTTGCCATGGTCTCTGTCCCTAGTAGTTTTCATTAAGTTCTGGAAATAATGAAAGTCATAACTTTGCCATGGTCTCTGTCCTAGTAGTTTTCATTATCTCACAGAGTTAATGAAAGTCATACTTTCTATCAGATGAAGCATGCAGATGAACATAATGAAAGTTAGTGAGTTTGCCACGAGTTATGAATAAAATATTGGCATATTAGATGAGATAGCTGATGAAACAGATGAAGATAAATTAATCTTGGACTTTGCCACACTCTGTCCCTAGTTCCTCAAAATCCTTGACAACGTTGCTTAGAAATTTTGGTTCAAAACCTCATCTGATTTAATCTGTTATGCTACCTGTTAAGTTTCGCGAGATTATTAAATGTCATGGAGTTATATAAAAAGGAGGGACAGCTAGGGACACTGGAAGTACTTGTAAGGCTATCTGTTAAGATTGCATGAAATACTAAAGTCATGAAATCCATTATCGCTGTGCTAGCTCACCTTAGAGTAAAATGACGACTAAAGTCACTGAAGCAATGAAACAAAAGTTTTTGGTAGAATACATTAAATCAGGAACTATTCCAGAAGGTTTTTACATTCATACTATGAAGGATGGTAGAGTTCAGTTTAGAAAGATAAAGCAACCATTAGATAGAGAAGGAATTTTGAGAAAGATTAAACTTCATGAGGACAACATTGCTGAACTTAAGAAGAAGCTAGAAGAGTTGGAGAAAGGAAGAGAGTTATAAAGCAATGAATTCAACAAGGTTAGAAATGAGGGTAGAAATGAGGTTAGATCTACCCTTCTACCCTAAATTTATTTTTGCGCTATGTTTTCATACGTGTGAGGGTGGTGATATCATTAATTTTTAAGTTTATTTTTTTATAAATGACAGAACAAAAATATAACATTTCTACTCAGCAGGAATGAGACCCTTACTGACTATGTATTCGTTTAATGCTTGATGAAAACAATGGTACATATTATCGTATGGGTATACACAACGTCTGTTTCCATCGTCGTCGTATATGTAGAGCTCAAATCCAGTCCAACCTTCTTTTGTACAATATGTAGCTTTATTTAAGTATGCATTTATGTAGATAAGGCAATTTTTTCATCATCGCTCCAGAAATAATTTTTGTTCTTTGTTGAAATAGTTTTCGTTCCTCTGCGACCATAAGGAATGTATGCAATGAACTTTGCGTCATATGGGATTGTAATATATTCAGGGTTTCTTTCATCGTCAATGGGTCTGTCTTTGTTAAAATGCATGTTTCTCAGTTTTACTTGAGTTTTGAATAGTTCACGGAAACGTTCTGGGAAAGAGTCATAGTAAATGTAGTCAGACATGTCTTTGTAATGAAATAAAAAATTAAAAAAAAATAAAAATAGGTTATTTTTTATTTAGTGAGGACGGTAGTGAAGTCGTTAGTGAAGTCGTTTATGTGTCAGATGGTTTTGTAAATATTTAAGGTTAAGTTGGTGTTATGGTTGTGTTGTAAAATATACGTTACCGGTTTCGTAAAGTGTCAAAACCGGTAAGTTATGTACGGAGACGCGCAGTGCCACAGTACACAACTTAGGGATACTAACTCTCGTATTTAAAATACTATTCCCAGATTTATTGTCGTCAGAATATTTCCAAATTTTTGCCGATTTACAAAAAATGATTTACAAAGCATATTTTTTAATCTAAAAAATTCCTAAAAAAAGGAACCGGTGTGCGGAAACCTCGGTAAATTACCGCGGTTCCCGTTGGGACTGCCATAGAGAAACTATATTTAATATATATATTAAAATCTAAAAAGCATTGATTTTAAAATCATATTTAAAATCTAACTGATTAATTAGCTTTTAAATAAATTATATTTCATTATTGACTTGTTTTAGATCAATATATTAATATCAGATCAGTTACATTTTAATTTAAGCATTATTGAAGAATTTGAAAATATGCATTATCTACTTGTAATGCTACAGGCAAAAATGAATCATATATTCATAATATCATACATAATCTCTATATGATACTACAATATAACAGTCTTTTATCCTAAATTCATGAAAATTAATTTCCTATTTCCATAAAAATAAATAATAATTCATTTTTATATTTAAAACATGCACATACATATATAGTATAATATAGGCGTATCATTCATTTCTGTATAAAGCTCATTTTCAAAAAAATTAATCGTCATTTTCGAAAAAAAATTTTGGAAAAAAAGTCCAAAATTCAATTAAGAATAATCGTTATTTTGGACTTTTTTTCCACCCAAAAATTATCCATATTTTTATTGATATAAAATTTTTAGTTTCTTTTACTTCATGAATTTGTTTCATAATGAGTGTTCGTATATTTTTGACACCATTAAGTACCTTGGAAAAAGATAACTGATTTCATAACAAATGAGCAGAAACAATTCAACATAAAGAATATCAAATTTGATTGAGATTAATATATTAAGATAGTTTCATAATAAAAAATTTTATATTTATAAAATACAAAAATACAATAAAATGTTAAGTTGAATTTTTTAGATTTAATTTTAAATTAAGTCTAATTTTTCAACTTAATAGTATAAATCTCTATTATTTTTTCTATAATCATAGTTTCTATCACCAAACCTGTTTTTGCTTGGTTCTCTTTTCTCTATAAATTGGTTCTTTTTCGCGTGAATTTTCAAATCATTGTTTGGAGAATAAATTTGTTCTTCAACATCTGATTCCAAAGGAACTGGCGAAAGAGGCTTTGGCTTGAAACTTTTTATTGAAGAACGTGGTGGTTTTGGAATAATTTCTTTTTGTGCTGAAGCCCAAGCCAAAAAATCTTTGCTTCTGTTTGGAACAAAAGGAGAATTTTCTCTTGAGTTTTCATGCGAATTTTGCGAGGAACTGTATTCATCTGTTTGCATCGCTTTGATGTACCTAATTGACTTCTTTATCTCTGGTGTTGATTCACTACTTGTAATACTCTTTTTCTCTTCTTCTTCGGATGATGACTCAAGTTGTTTCTTTTCTTCATCAGAAGAATAATATGAATATTCACTTTCATTAGTTACTTTATGCTGAATTTGTTTGTTTGGTTTAATTGGTTCTTTCTTTAGTTTTATTTCATGATTCTTTGATTCATTATCTCCTGTTTGTTTCTTCTCTACACTATAAATAGGTTTTATTTCGTTTCCTGATGATGAATAATAAGAATATTCACTTTCTTTCTGAAGAGTCTGTTTGCTTGGATTACTTGAAGTGGAACTCATTGGATAATTCTTTGCTTTAACATCTTGTTTTGTTTCTAAGTTATTCTTATTAATCATTGGCTTGTCTTCTTGTTTCATTAATACATTCTTATCTTGTTTATTTATTGGTTTATTTTCTTCTTCTGATGAATAATAAGAATATTCACTATCTTTGGTAATTTTCTGTTGAATTTGTTTATTTTTATTATTTGAAACTAAAGTCTTTGTATCTTTCTTTGTTTCAATTTCTTGTTCCTTTGATTCACTAACAGGATTCTTTCCTTCTTCTGATGAATAATATTCGCTCTCATCTACAAGATTTGCTTTTTTCTGTTCAGTTACTTTGAAAGGATCATTTATATTTTTATTTATTGGTTTATTTTCTTCTTCTGATGAATAATAAGAATATTTGCTTTCTTTATTAGGTTTTGTTTGTTTGAGTTCAATTTGCTGCTGATTAGTTGAATTTTTCTGTTCACTTTGTTTCTTTTGTTGCTGAGAAACATTTGGTTTTGTTTCTTCTTCAGATGAATAATAATAGGAATATTCACTTTCATTTTTAACATTTGGTTGAACTATTTGTTTCTGCTCAATTTTGTTATTATAGTTGTTAGTAATGGCTTGAACAGAAACATTCTTTGCTGATGTTTCTTGTTTCTTTAGTTCCTCATTAATAGCTGGCTTAATTTCTTCTTCAGATGAATAGTAGTAAGAATATTCACTTTCATTAGCTTTATTTGATTTTTGTTCTGATTTCTGAACTTGTTCCTTTGAGTTATTTTGTTTTGTTTGTTGTTGAGAAACTTTTGGTTTTGATTCTTCTTCTGAAGAGTAATAAGAATATTCACTTTCTTTGTCATTTTTAGAATTGTTGGAAATCAACGTATATGCTTTCATTTTGTTTGAGTTTTGATTGTTTATTGGTTTCTTTTCTTCTTCCGAGTAGTAATAAGAATATTCACTTTCATTTGATTTAAAAGTTTCAATCTTTTGTTTTTCTTCCTTATTTTGTTTATTTGTTGGTTTTGTTTCTTCTTCTGAAGAGTAATAATATGAATACTCGCTTTCATTTCGATTTACTTTTTGGTTATTAGAAATCAATGGTGTTGGAACTTCTTTTGATTTCTGTTCTTTATTGATCGTTTGTTTTGTTTCCTCTTTAGAATAATTATTTTGTTTATCTTTGATAACTTTCTGATCTGTGTTTGAATTCTTTTCTCCATTAATTTTTGGTTTTGTTTCTTCTTCTGAAGAATAATAGTATGAATATTCGCTTTCGTTTTGTTGCTTTTCTTCTCTTTTTATCTGAGATATTTGAGTTTGTTTCTGTTTAGTATCATTGATTTGTTGTTCTTCTTCTGATGAATAATAATATGAATATTCACTTTCTTTTTCATTCTGAGTTGTTTTAACATCAACTTTTTGTTCATTAACTTTAGATAGCAATCCTTCTGATCCAGTTTGTTGTTTTGGTTTTGCTTCTTCTTCTGATGAATAGTAGTATGAATATTCACTTTCTTTGTCATTTGATTTCTTAATAACTGTTTGTTTTACATCAGGTTTTACAACTTTTTGTTGATCTTTCGGAACAGGTTTTGTTTCTTCTTCTGAGGAGTAATAATAAGAATATTCCGTTTCTTTATCATTAACTTTCTGCTCGATTTCCTTAGTTTCTGGTTTCTTTTGTTCATGAACAACTGGCTTTACTTCTTCTTCTGAAGAGTAATAATATGAATATTCACTTTCTTTTTCAACTGGTTGAACGGGTTTCTGTTCAATTACAGGAGAATTTTTTTGCTTTTCATCAGATTTTGGTTTTTGCTCCTCTTCAGAAGAATAATAGTAAGAATATTCACTTTCTTTTTCGATAGCTTTTTCTGGTTTCTGTTCAATGACAGATTTTTGTGGTTTTATTTCTTTCTTTGGTTCTTCATCTGAAGAGTAATAGTATGAATATTCACTTTCTTTTTCTACTTTTTCAGGTATTTTTACTAAATTTTGTTGAGGTTTTACTTCAATTTCTTCAATTTTTGGTTTAATTTCCTCTGTAATTTCAATAGTTTGTGGTTTTTGTTGATTGATTGTTGGTTTCGTTTCTTTTTGTTGAATTAATGGTTTTCGTTCCTCTTCAGAAGAATAATAGTAAGAATATTCATTTTCTTTTTCAACAACTTTAGCTGGTTTCTGCTCATTGATGGGTTTTTGTGTAATTATTTCTTTCTTTTGATTATTTTGTTCTTCTTCAGAAGAGTAATAGTATGAATATTCACTTTCTTTTTCTGGTGTTTTAACCAATTTTTGCTGTGGTTTTATTTCTTCTTTATTTTCAACAATTTGTGGCTTTCCTTGAATGATTGTTGGTTTTATTTCTGCTTCTTTTGGTTGAGATATTGGTTTTTGTTCTTCAGTTTCTGATGAATAAGTGTAATAATATTCATATTCTGATTCTTCCTTTTGATCAACTTTTTCTTTCTTTTCAACAATTTCTGGTTTTGATTCTTCTTTTTGAATCATTTTTGTTTCATTTGCAATGGCTTTTGGAGTTAGTGGTTTGATTTCTTGTTTTAGCTTTGGTTTGATGTGTTTAATATCTGGTAAAATTGGTTTGTTTATTAGTTCTATTATTTTATGTTTCTCGGCCTTTATCTCTTCTGATTCAGATGAATATGTTTCACTTATTGATTCACTCCTTTGAATTAATTCAACTTTCAACTGTTGAATCATTGGGTTTGTTTGTTTTGTTTCTTTTACTGGTGTCTTTTTTTCTTTCTTTGTTTCTTTTAATGGTGTCTTTTGTTCTTTCTTTGTTTGCGCCTTAGATTTTGGAGGTTCTTTCTCTTTTTGTTTTGGTTTGATTTCTTCCTTTTTCTGGACAATCTTCGGTTTAGTTCCTTCCATTTCTGACGAATATGTTTCGCTTATTGTTTCACTAACTTTTGTTTCTTTTTCCTTCTTCTGAACAATCTTTGGCTGAGGTTCTGCTTTCTTACTCAATGCTTTTGTTGCTGCCAAAACAGGTTTTTGTTCAATTTTAGGTTGTTCTTGTTTGATTTCTTTCTTTTGTATAGTTTCTTCCATTTCAGATGAATAAGTTTCACTAATTGATTCACTCTTTTGAACTATTTTCTCTTTTTGAGCACTAATTTTTGTTTCTTTCTTTTGCTTTGGTCCAGCTTTCTTACTAATTGTTTTTGTTGTTGCCAAAACTGGCTTTTGTTCAATTTTAAGTTCTTTTTGTTGAATTGGTTTAACATCTTCTTTTTTCTTTTCTGGTGTTTCTGATTCAGAATAAGAATATGAGTAAGAATACGTGTAATAATAATCAGATTCTTCTTTCTTCTCTGTTTTAGCTTTTGCAATTGTTTCTTTAAGTTTGCTTAATTGCTTTTCTTTACTTGGAGTAATTTTTGTTTCTGTTACATTTGTTTTACTCGAAGTTTCTTTTTGTTTTGGAGTAATTTTTGTTTGTTTTTCTTCTTGCTTGGGTAAATTAATTCTCTTTTCTTCAATTTTTGGTTTTTCTGGAATCTGTTTTGTTGGTTCTTTTTCTTGTTTTGGTAATTCAATTTTCTTTTCTTCTATTTTTGTTTCTTCTATGATCTGTTTTGTTGATTTTTCTTCTTGGTTAGGTAATTCGGGTTTCATTTCTTCTATTTTTGTTTCTTTTTGTTTTGGTAATTCAATTTTCTTTTCTTCTATTTTTGTTTCTTCTTGCTTAGGTAAATCAGGTTTCTTTTCTTCTACTTTTTTATCAGTTTCAATTGATTTTTCTTTGTTTTCAGCCAAATTTTGTTTTTCTTCAATGTTTGGAGTTATTTCTACAACATCTGATGAATAAGTATAATAGTATTCATATTCTGATTGTTTTTTCTCATTTTCTGGAGATGGAATATTTTTTTCAAATTCATTCGAAATTTGTGCAGATAAAATAACTTCTTGATACTCTTCAAATGGATTCTGAATGATTTTTGGATCTACAGGCTGTTTTATTTCCATTGGTTTGATACCAACTTTTTTGTTATCTTCTTTTTCATCTGAATCAGAAGAATATGAAGAATCTGATACATATTCATTAATTTCTTTTGATTCTTTTGTTTGATCAGAAATATTCTCAATATTATTTATTTTTTCTTGAATGTTTTGATCATTATTCACATGTTTTGTCTCATTAACAGAAGAATCAAGTATTTCGCTAGGAATTAAATTAGATTCTTCGCTTAATTGATTTGAATTCAAGTCTGACTCAAAATCACTAAGATTTTTGGTTATTTTCAGTAATTGATCATCAGAGACAGGTTGAACAAGCTTATTTTGTGGAAGAATTTGTGAATTTTGAATTAGTTGAATTTCTTGCTGTTTTTGAGCTTCATCATCACTATTATCTCTATCACTCATTGTTTCTATTGATTCTTGAGTACGTGTTGGGATATCACTATAAGAATCTTCTTCGTAGTAATAACTTGATGATGTGGCAGGATTATCTGATGAAGAATGTGTCTCACTAGCTGAATAATAGTCGGAAAATGCAGGAATATTTTTTATTTTTTGGAAAATAGGCGTTTGAACAATTTTTTTCTTGCGTTGTTTGTTGAAAAATGCTTTGATATCTTTCTGAGTTAGCTGATTTCTTCTTGGCTGATGACTTCCATCATCCGAAGGATCAGAGGAAGAAATAGCACCTCTTCTAGTACCTCTTCTCAAGATTTTCTTTGGAGGGTAGGTGCTGCTATCCTTTTCTTGGCCTGTTTTCCTTCGAGATTTCATTGCTTGTAAAATCTCTATCCAGCCAACCTAAAAATAATGAAAAATCATTATATTATTATGCAAAACATTACATAGTTTTAGTAAATTTTGACTAAATATAAAGGATTCCAGAAAAATTAATAGAAAATTTTCATTCAATCTCATTTTTCTATGAAAGCAGTTATATTTCTGGTGTAAAATCAACAACAAATAACAAATCTTTGAAACCGGGCAGTTTGGATGGTTTTTATTCATAATTCCCAATTCAACTTTATTTATCAGGTAAGATACCTGTAAAAATCAGGGTCCATAATATTATTAAAATAATTCTTTATTAAACATACATGAAAAACAAATAATTATTCATCTATATGCTTTGGAGTTATAGAAACAAGCTCCAAATCCTTATCAAGTGTTAATGTGAAGCTCTTATTGTCATTTAAGTAAACGGAAGTTTCCTTCGTCACATAAAATTTTCCAGAATTTTTGATTTTTTCTCTCTTTAAAATCAAAGATTTGTATCCATTTCCGAATGCTTCCAAAACAGGAAGTTTCACCTTCATTGGTATCACAATGATCTGTCCAACGAGCATCAATGTAGACAGTTTGAACTTATTAGAACTCGAGTTAAACGAGTTATATATTGCATTAATGAAATGAACACCTTGTACGGTTTGGACATCAATTGGGTCTGAATCATCTGGTAACTGCATGAAAACGAAATGAGGAGGTTCATGTATCAATTTAACGATGTTCGGGAATACACCTGATACTTCCTTTGCAGCCTTCATGAAAAGGGAACATCCATCTGCAAGCTCTCCATCATATTCATCTCTTATTGTTGCGTAACTTAATGAAAATGATGCCATTACTGCCCTGTCAAATGTCTTTGATTTTAATTCTCCATCTGTTGTGAGAACATTTGAAAGTTGTTGAGGCAATGCATACATCTTCAAATTCTCTGCAACTTGCCTTTCATATCTCATCATCTCTTCTTTGTGGTCGTGATAAGAAAGATCTTCAAAAATCATCGCATAAATGTATTTGTCATTTTCTGCCAAAATTTTTGACATTCGAATCTCAACGTTTTTCGCTTTATGAGAGCCACGTTCGAACTGTGTAACCAATCGAAGACAAGAGTGGTCTATACTATTATTGTCATCGAAGAACTTCAAAATGTGGTTGAAAGGATGTTTTTCATCATTTTTGTAATTAATCAATCTCGAGAAAATTGCGTCGAGAGATAAACCAATACAAGCTTCTCTTGGTGCACCAATCAAATTATAAAAAGAAGGATTAGCAAACAAAAGAGACTTATCTTGCTCAAACAATGCATGAGGATATTCAATTATATTTAAATAGTTTCCTAATCGAGTATCAGTTTCATTCATTATTCCGCCTCTGTGCCAATCCGCTTCTCCTTGCAAATACTGCATTACTTTTGGAAGATCAGGAACTCTCATTGGAGGGATGTATTTGAGAGGAAGTTTTACGGATTCTTTTGTTGCGTCAAGTTGTTTCATGATTGGTAAAAAGAAAACAAATGAACATAATGAAACAAGGAAAATAACAACAAAGAAAATAACTAATAAAATTGTTCTTTCGTTCTTCAACTCGTAAATTATAAATTGAAATCCAGCTTCATGCAATTGATAACTACGAGGATAAAAGAAATCATTATACAATGTCACTAATTCCTTAATTTCATCTTCTGAAATTGAAGAATTATATGCTTTCGATGCCAAAATCATGAAATAATCAAACATATAAGTAAATGGCCAACAAGCTCTATCTGATTCATTTGTACATGCTTTGTCATGGACTAAACTATAGAAAGCATCAGATGTCAACATCTTTTTGGAAACTTCACTTCCACTTGTTGCTAAAAGCAATTTTGAGTTGAAATCTTTTGTTAATTGAAGTCTGTATGAACAATATGAATAAGGAAGATAAGTAAAATTACTTAATATTCCTTGTAAAACTATTGAACAACCTGTTGTTCTTCTTGCAGTCATTTGAAGAGTTTTGAACATAATCATCATGTCATTTACAAATCCCGAGAAAAGATAAACCTCAACTGTTGCAGCTACAAGCAAAATAATCGTAATACTTCCCACAATCAACCAAACTTTCAATTGGAAATATTTAGGAATTACTGTTCCTGCGGATGATTGATCGTGAACAAGCAATTTTAAGTTATCAACACCCTTTACTTCTTTTTGTGCTTTAACTGGCTCTTTTTCATCTTCATCAAATGGATTTAAATTTGAAGCAAGTGCTTGCTGAAGGAACATGTTCTTTTTATTATCAGTAATCTTGTTTGTTGAGCTTGGATCCATCAATTCTGTGATGAAAGAACGTGGAATGGTGATGTAAAGATTGAAAATGTATTTCAATTCAGTTTTCACGTTCTGCATCGCACTAAATATTAAAGGAACCATGATAATAAGCATAACGCCCCATATGATTCCATAAAATATTGGAATATATTTCACTAATTCCGAAATTATATTTTGAATTGAAACTAATTCGGCATCTGAAGCTAAAAATACGGAATATCCGATGCCAAGAGTATTATTCTTCATTAATAATACAAGATTATCATCTTCTGGTACAAATGGAACAGATCTTGCGTAATAAGAATATAATCTCAAAAATTTCACGATTCCTGTAGTTTCCAGACCAGAATATTCTTCAACTTTATTCCATAACTGGTTCGTAAGGTTTGAGTTTGATTTGAGAATTTTATCTGGCATCTCTTGTAAAAGATTTGTAATTGCGTCGTCTAAAACCTGGGAATGGTTGAAGAATGTTTCTCGACCTTTATCTCCACTTGGAACAATCTCTTCGAAAAGATTTGGTGAATGGAATATCAATGAACATGTTGTATCAGAATAATACAAGAAATTACTCATACTTGAGGTCATATGCATTGAAACAAAGGCCAAAATGATGGCAGACAAGATGAAAATAAAGGAAAGAATGATTGTAAACCATAATCTTGCTTTCGTTTGGTTCAATGAAGATAATGGTCTTCTATCGACAGCATCTTCGATTGATTGATGGAGAACAGCAATATTAATATCACTATTGGGATCAGCTCCAGTAGTTTGCATCGCTTGATTGTTGGCAGATAAGGGTTCATTTAATTTTGGATGAACTTTGAGGAGAGCTTCAGCAATTTTGTGTTGCCTTCCAACACCATTTAAGAATTTAATGTATTCTCGCATTGTTGGAAGTGAATAAGGATATCTTATTATTAATTGTTTCCAACTATAAGATAACTCCGCAAGATTCTGGTATAACATGAATGTTGTTCTCGACATCTGAGTTATATCTCCTTTATAACAACCTGCCCAAAATTTTGTCAAAATTTGTTCGCATTTGAAGCCAGCCAATGTTTGCTTTGATATTTCATGGGATATAGAAGTACTTAGTTCGTTTGAACTTTCTTGGATTGAAGTTAAAAGTTGAAATAAAATTGCGGCTTCAAGAAATTTCGGATTTTTCCTTGATAAATATGAGTCTATCATCTGTTTTAACAAGTTTAGATTATCAGGGATCAAAAATGACATGTAAAGCATCTGAAAAGAGAGATTTTCATAAGTATGAATTACATATTTCACCAAAGAACCATCAATAAAGGTATCTAATCCAAGAATACATGCTGCTCTTACTGTAAATAAAGCCTTTTCTGAGTTTCCTAACTTCATATCACCATAAACTCCTAAAAGTTCTTCTTCATCACTTGAACTTGCTTGTTTTGAGACTGTTTCTACTTTATTTGTTCCCTTCAATCTCATTAGAACATGAACAATCCTAATATGTGTGTATATCTTCAAACAAATGAATAAAATAAAAGGAACTAAGATCCAAATAAAAATGCAAGTCCAATATGGAATTATTCCTGGATGGAATGATAAAACAATTAAAACTAGCATATAAATGTTCCATGACATGAACAAAGAAGTAATGAATTGATAAGCTCCAAAAGAAATATAATAAATTTTGCCAATATGAACGATAGAAAGGATTAACGCACATGAACATCTAACTATTAACAGTATACTAAGTGTTAAACCCTTTGCTTTTGATTCTAATTCAACAATTAAAAATTCAAAAATAAACAAAACATAAAAAAGGATGCTATCGTCTGTATTTGGTGCCCAAATGGATAGAGGATTAGATAAATTAGGCGATGGTGATGTACCTGTAGCAATTGCAGCTAAAACTTGCATAATTATTAAAACTATTAAAACGAGTAGAGCAATTAATGAAATGAAGAAGTTCAAAACTGTTGGTTCTTCAACTATGGCACGTAAATGTTTGCCAGTTGTAGTTATAAAACAAGTTTGAAACATCGGCAAAATTAAAAAACGGTAATAGAAGAAAACTTTCATTTGCCAAGATGGTATGTTTTGCGCTCTAAGCTTTGAAACAATTACTATTAAAAGAATAAAATGTGCAAAGGTAATTATTGCAATTATTGAAAAAATTATGTAATTTGTTAACGATGACGCATCGGTAGGGACATACCGAACAATGATTGTGCATACTTCAAGAAATGTGCTAAGTTCTGGATATTTGCCTTGCCAAATACCATAATTATAAGGTTCAAACATCCCAGTTAGGATCTGAATTATAATAAAAAACAATGCTATATAAAACACCCACGGCATATTAGTAACAGATCGATTTAATAAATGAAAAAATATAAATAATGCATGAGTTTTTGGTCCAATTGTATATGTTGATGATAATTGATACCCTACTCCACTATCCTTCTTATTAAGACGGTTGGATGAAAAGGCATCAAACCTTTCTCCAGGAGAAATCATCAATTAACACAATTTTTTAAATTCAAACCGCAAAAATCAATATAAAATCTATATTATTTAAGTGTTGTAATTTCAGATTTATTTTTCAATAAAATATACGTTTTGTAAAATTTTGAATTGAATTTGAATAAATCAAAAAGAAATTAAAAGCCCTCACCATTTCTAGAAATGTCAGAAAGTGGTAAGTGCACCCTTAAACAAGATTTTATTTTATACAGCCTTCCATATGCAGGAGTTGAAGAGCAGCCAGAACTTCCTCCACAAGCATGTTTTTACGATTCAAAATTACCAGATAAAGTATATTCGCCAAATTACGATGATGCTTTAATTAGAGGAATTGTTGCTCTTTCCCAAAAAGTAGAAAAAGATAAAGAAAAGGTAAAAAAACCAAATGAATCTTTATTAGAAATCGCAAAATTAGAATTCGAAGCAGAGAATGATAAAATAAGAAATTACATTGATATTGAAATCGAAAATCTTAAGAGAGAAATTATTTCTGGGGCAATTTTTGAAAATACTCTCGATGATTTCGAAACGACAATAGCTTACAAGATTAATATCGGTAGATCAGCTGCTATAACTGGTAAAGAAGCTGCTTCTTTACTCCGGTCCTTGAATAAATAAATTTCTATCTTTTTTAATATAAATTTATTTTTATTTTTTGCTGATTTGTAACTTTATGCATGCGCAATATAAAATGTATTCAACAATTTGAAATTGAACAGCAATTACCACACGATTCTTATTCAAAGTTAAATTGATTTTAGAATGCTTATACATTTAAATCTCATACATATCATAGTTTGAAAATTTGTAGATTTCATGAGGATTGTAAACTTTTGTGCTCTTCAAAACGAAGCTATGAAGAAAATGGATTAATATTCCAATTCATTTTCCAAGAATAGAAGAATATGCATATTTAAATTCATTTGGTATATGATTTGTATGAATGTTAAGAAACAATACAAGAGATTAGAAATAACCTTAATTATAAAAATTGAGAGTGTGCCAGAAAGTTCACCCATGAAAAGTGCCGAAAATTCAAATTCTTCTCAATATAAAATGTTTCTTTTTAGTATAAAAATGTACATTCGGTAGAGAATGGGTGATACAGGAGGTGGTATTTATAGCGATGACTTTATTTATTTAACCTCAACTAAAGAGAATGCTGAAACAATTGTTGTCAACTCTAAGACTAGAGTCATTCAAAGCACACAAAGTGTTACTGCATTCCAGAAGTGCACAAACACTCTCACGACACTCAGTTTTGGTCCAAATCCTTTACTCGAAACGATCCAAGATTACTCATTTTTCCAATGCAAATTTCTCAATAATGTCGATCTCTCTGTATGCACGAAACTTATTATAATTGGAAAATCCGTATTTGAAAGATGTTCATCATTGACCTCAATAAAATTACCAAATTCAGTCACAACTCTTGGCGACAGTATCTTTTATAGCACTAACATCAAAAACTTTGATTTACCAGCATCTGTTACTGTTTTACCATTTCAATGTTTCATGGGATGCAAACAACTGAATTCAATAAACATTCCCCAGGATTCAAATCTCACAGAAATAAAAAAATGGTTTATAAGACAATCATCACTTAAAACATTTCGAATTCCAGCAAAAGTAGAAACGTTCAGTGATGGTGTATTTGAAGATTCATCGATTGAAACAATTATTGTTAGCAGCGAAAATCCTAATTACAAAATTGACAATAATTTCTTGATAGATACAAGAAGTATGTATATCTACTGCTGTCCTGCAAAATCTACCGGAAATATAGTTATTCCAAACGGTGTCAAAGGCACATATGGATCCTCATTTAGATTTTGCACTATTGATTCGGTTGAATTTCCATCAACACTTTGGGCTATTTTTCCTTATTCTTTTGCAGGATCCACACTTAAATCAGTGTATATACCAGATACTATCTCATATATTGGTGATTATGCGTTTGAAGACTGTGGGAAGCTAAATTCGATTCGATTACCAAGCAATATAAATTCAATTTCATCATATTGCTTCTATGGAACAAACATTAGTCACATTGATATTCCAAGTAATATAAAAACATTAAATACTGGATGTTTTCTGAATTGTCCTAATTTAAGGGATGTTGAGTTGCCAGATGGCATCGAAAAACTAGATGGAAAAATATTTGATGATGGAACAAATATTCACTTCAGTCCGAATTCTCGATTTTATATCGATAGTCAGTACTTGATTCTTGATAAAGAAAACACGACAGTCACCCAATATTTAGGATCTAATACTAATGTCAATATCAACATTCCACCAACAATCACAACGATCGGATCTGATGCATTCAAAGGCAAGAATCTTATTTCTTCATTTGTTTTCACATATGATTCTGCTCTCACTCAGATCAACAGTGGTGCATTCAGTGATTGCAGAAGTGCAACATTTGTTAATCTTCCAAATACAATTTCATCCATCGGTGAAATGTCATTCCTCAATTGCAACCAACTCCAAAGTTTAGTTTTCACATCATCATTAAAGACACTTTCAGCTTCTAGTTTCAATGGCTGCAAATTTTTGAGAGAAGTCCACATTGAAGATTCTAAAATAACATCACTCCCAGACTCATGCTTCATGAACTGCAATTCATTGTCATCAATTAGAATCCCTAACACAGTTACAGAGATCAACTCATTATGCTTCTATTTATGCACATCTCTCTCTAAAGTCGAGTTTGGAACATTAATTAAATCGATAGGTCAGAGCAGCTTCCAACAATGCAATCTTGCAAAGGTTGACATGCATATGTGCAAATTGCTTATCAACATTAGTGACTATGCTTTCTATAACAACACTAATCTCGACATTGTCGTTCTCCCAGATAACATCGAACGATTCGGTGCATACTCATTCTCTCGGACATCACTCACTAACATGACTATTCCAACACATCTTGTTAATCTTGGACCATATTCATTCAGTGAATGCCAGCAACTGGACAGTCTTACCATCCCATCCGACAGTTCACTCACCACTAGCGGTATTGGCATTGGTTCTTTCAAGAACTGTTTCCGGATCAGCAGCATCTCATGCGAAAGTGAACGATTCAGCGTTTTCAGTGGTGCACTTTTTAACAAACAACAGACATCTCTCATCTTGTTCCCTCCTGCATCAACCATTTCTTTCTTCTCTCTCCCTCCGACGACACAGATCATCAGTGAAGGTGCATTCATGTCGTGCTTCAACCTCGTTTCAATATTCATTCCAAGCAACAGTCTTACTCTGATTTCAAACAACGCGTTCGAAGGGTGTTCATCCCTGTCATGGATCAACATCCCAATCTGTGTTTCAGATATTGGAGAAGATGTATTTATCGGCTGCACAAGTCTTCGTTGTGGACTTGAGATTGAAAACAAGAACAGAGAATTTCTTAAGAACATTGTTGATGTATCCAAACTTGATCCACAATGTCTTCATGATTGTGCAAGTGTTTTCACATGCAAAGCAAACATCCACCATGTTGATATTGGATTAATTCAACCATTCATTGTCATGCTCATATAAACAAACATTTTTAACCATAAACATAATAAATTTTACTATACTTTTTTAATATTTCGAATTTTAAATACACTTAAGTGTGCACTTTCCACTCTCAAGTTTCCTGTTTAAAGTTTTAATTTCTAATCCCCTTAGCTTGTAAGTGCATCAAAATTTTCTATGTTATTTATTATGATAATTATAACTGTATGAATACACAACATAAAAGATATTCACCTTCCTGACAATTTTTCAGCCTACATCGGCGCCAAGCGCATCTAAATGCCTTAAAAAAAATAATGTTTACAAACTAATTAAATGTGAATATCATTTTATATTAATGAAACCGTTCAGATTGTTATATCCTTATTTTGTTTATTAATGAGATTTGCAATATCTTATAACAATTAGAAATATTGGCTACTTATATTTATAACTACATAGGCGATAATAGTTTTCTTTGAAATCCCGTTCTTTTTGCTACAAAAGTTTACACTCATAAACATGTTTACCGTGTCTTTTTCTTCTATTCACATGAAATAAGATATTCGCACGTGGAAACAGGAGATGAGATTATATAATGTTATGAGTCAATAGCAATATTAATTTGGGGAGAAAGCTATTTGGAATCATGACAGTTTATTTAACATTAATGAAGGAAAAAATTGGGAGTAATAAGCCCAATTTAACTTCTTAAGATCAAATGATTATTAAGATCAAATTATCCAAAAAAATCGATGATATTTTACACATCGTCGATATTTGGATGAGACAACTTAAGCAAATCAATTAAGTAAATCTTCATTTCCATCGCAGAATTCATTATTCTGAAAATGCTATCTTGAGAGACGACAGATCAATTCAATTGTGCTTTGGAACACGAATGTTTTTTGTAAATTATTTAATAGACTTTAATGCGAAAATCGTAGTGAATCTCGTAGATATTGATTTATCCATACATTTGTGTCGATTTTTAAGAAAAATTAGAAGAAGAAAGGAATCAATTAAGTTTTCACGTATTTCGATATGATTGAAGGATCAAACATTGAAGCAACAGAGAAAATAATCTGAAAATCATCTTTGCCTGATATTTTTATTTCATGGCAGATATCATTAATTATTGCTTGTGTCATTGCGTCATTGTTTGGAATCTTTTCCGAGAGAACTGATAAGAAATTTAAGCTTATATTAGTTAATGATTCTAATTGAAGTTGGCACCCTTTAACTCTTTGATTTTCTGGCATTTCTAGTAAAATAACAACAGTTGCAAGTGGCCATGGAGCAGGAACTTGTAATTGCTTAATTATTTTTCTATTTCTTGAAGATGTTTGAGTTATTTTTTCATAATGTATATTACCTATAGAAAATACTTTCTTTTCTCGTAGTCTAATATATGTTATTGGTCTTTTAAATGAATTAAAAAATTCATCATCTGGTTTTTGTTGTCTTGAAATGATTTGTATTGACAAACCAGGAATGTATCTATCGTGTACTTCAAAACTAGCGTAGTTCCTTTGAAAAGGAAAAGTAAAAAATAGTAAAAAATTTGCTAAATCTAAATAAGGTTCATATGGATCAACTTCAATAACAGAAGTCATACCAGTTTGTAGATGTGATGTTAAACATAGAGCATAAAAAGATACTGAGCTGTAATCAATTTGAACAAAAGTATTCAATTGAACTCCTGATGTAAAAAATATATTTAAGTCACTCTTACTTTGTAGTATTGCAGGTTCTAGTTTCTTAAGCGGTTCATTTTGTGTTATTGCATCTTTTATTTGTTGAGAGAAAATTTTGCAGAATTTGATTAAAGAAGGGTGCTGCAAATCGCATTTTCGTATTGAGGAAAGTCGAAATATATATGTAAGTGAAATATAAGTTGCAAGATTTTTTCTTTGCAAATAAAATACCGAACTTATTGTAGCAATATTAAGACAATTGATTTCTGCAATGATTGTTACAGCGTCTGTGAAATATTTAGGATCTTGTCTATATAAATTTGATAATGATAATTTAAAAATGTCTTCTAATGGCTCAGAAATCATTAAATCACCAAATTGCCACTTCTCTAAGATCTGTACGCCACTAAGAAGATCAAGGGAAGAGATCCCACATAAAAGGGTTGGCTCCCCCATTGTCAGAAAAAAATGAATTTAGTATGTTCACATTCATGAATCACAACCTACCCATTCTTTATGGAGATAGTAAAAATGGAATGCATAGCAAGCATAACTAAGGTATTGAGTATAGACAGTTTTTCATGATATTATTTCTTGCAGTACGACATGTGTAGTTTGCACAAAGATAAAGATGGAGGAGGCCCACTACCTTATGGAGTGTTATCTCACCAAAAGATCCGTTTCGCATGAGATATGAGATATTAGATACTCTTGGTTGGAAATTGGAATATTTGCGGGAGCGTCATCAAGCATTGTTTAATTTCATTTCTTATTTCGAAATAAGCATAAAAAGTTTGGAAAATTGGTTTATGGGCGTGCAGCAGACGAAAAATGAGATTGAACCGTCCCACATGATCAGAGAGAGTTGTGAAGGGAAAGAATAGAAAACTTCTTATAAGCCCTTTCATATCATGCACACAGAACAGAAAAAGAATGATTCATAAATAGGAATGAAGAGTAGTATATGTGGACGGGTTGTGTGACTTTTTTTGAAAATGTAAGAATTCATACAATATAGAACGATTTTGTATCATTTTTTTTAACATATGAAGTAAAAAATGTATGATTCTTACGGTTTTTATTCTTACGTTTTTGAATAAATCAAGATTTAAAAAATTTTCAAATCGTAAGACATTTACACTCAGCCCAAACATAATGAAATATATTTCATCTTTTATAAAAGAAGCTATATATAAATGAAACAGAGGAGTCATAATCAAAGACCTCATAAACGAGTAAAAAGAAATTAGAAACTAATGAAATGGAAATCATTGATGACATTAAAGAGGATGGAATTCCTAAATTTTGTAGAAAAACCTTTAGAACTAAGTTAGGAACATATAAACGTAGAGTATTAAATCCTGAATATCTTAAACATCAATTTAAAAAGGAAGACTGTGAATTATTAAACGCTAATGAATATGAAAATGCTAAATCAAAACTGAGATATAAATATATTGGAAGTGATGAAAGGTGTAAAGATAAAGATAAAGTTTATTCAGTTTCATATAATAACTGGCACACGTTAGGGATAAGAAAACATTTAGGAGATTATGGGAAATGTTCTGAATTCTTTAAATCTAGTATATACGAGAGAGTAAAAGAAATTAAAAATAATTATTTTCATGAATAAAAAATAAACTTTAAAAATTCATGTCTTACATTTTTGAATAATTTATTTTTTTAATTCGTAAGAAATGAGTGAATCAAGATTCGTGACTGTAAATCAATTAATAAATAAACTTTCACCAATTCTCACCCAGGTTAAACAAGTAGACGTTTATTTTGATGAGGCGTCAAAAATTTTCTCACTGGGTTTTCGTCTATCAATCCCAGCTCATTATATACGCAACCAATCAAAAATCTGATATGGGAGTCCAAGGCTAACTTTTTGTCGTCTACCTAATAAAAGAGGAAGCAGCATTAGTGAGAATAATCGCAAATATTCAATTTAAATTATCTTTTTATTCTTAATTTAAAGTGACAAAAAGAATAAAAAACCTATTCTAAGGCATGTTGTTATGTAAATGAGACTAGACATCATATTTTATGTTATGAAAAAAAAATATTTAGAATTTTAGAACAAAATAAATAGAAAAAATAGCATAACTTATGGATGTGCGTATATTAAATTTAATAAATTAAGAGAAATTATTTTTGGCGCCAAAATTATTCGTTAACTCTCAAATTTTTCTGAGTCAATAAGCCGCCAAAAAAGTGTCATTTTGTTTCGTTAGAGAAAGATGAATTGTCCATGTCATCCAATCGGGAACAAGGGGGATGGGGATTAGATGATAAAGAAGCAATTCATGCTCTCTATCTGAAGCAATCAGACTTACCAGCAACAATGTGAATCGATTTGGCTTTAAAGTTAATATAGCAGATCAGCTTGTTACTGGAGAGACTAGGCATTACGATTGATTCGCTGTAGTGCTCTACTTTAATTTAAGAGTAGTAACGGATAACTGAATTCCCAAAGTTCTTTAGGTGATCCAAAACACTGTAGCTGCTTGAACTTTGGACGAGCCTCGCACCCCAGAGAATAGAAATCCCAATCTTGCTCATGTTTAGTTGAATTAGTCTGCAGCAGTACAGCTCTGATACCACAAGATCGTGATGTATACAAAGTCACAACGCTATTTGATTCAACAACTAGCTAGTTTTGACATCAAATTGCAAAATTTGACTTCGTTATGAGCTCTTTGTAGCAAAAATACATTACACTTAAAGACTAGTTGCTAGACTGTAGTAGTTTGTTCGTATATATCTATTTTTCCCCAACGTATTGCATACTACATTTTGACAAGACTTGCAACCTTATAGTAACCTCGTTGGGAATTGTTCAAGCAAAGCGTAGGTAGTTAAGGTCGAGTAAGAGTTCTTCTTAAATCTTTCACTGAATGAGTAGGTGTTGGAAGAACTGTTCTCTAAAGCGATACAGTTGCGCTACATGTTCGTCAACTTGTCTAGAAATAAATATATCATTTGTTTTATACGTTTTTTCGTAATAAATCTATTTGTATTTGTTGTATTTGAGTATGAAGATAACAAAAACTACGGCATAAGACGCAGTACACTGGGCTTCGTTGCCATTTTATTTACCATGTTAAGAATAAACTTAACAGACATGCTTTGTTTTCGACGAAGCCATCTAAAATAACGTACATCTAAATAAAACTAAAAAACTGTAAAATTTCTTTATTTGATAGTATACTTCAAATTATGCACTATACCTTCTAGAATTCTATAACACTCTTTGCATATAATTTTTTTAAAAAAAAGTTATATCTCGACAAAAATATGATTTATCAATAGAGTATGTAAAATAAAACTCATTCGCAGTATTAAAAAATCGTAAATCTTTCCAAAAAAATTTTGAATTACAAATTTTAAAACTTAAAACAACATTTTTTGAAGCGAAAAAACGAAATCTAATTTTTTTTGGAAAATTTAGAATAAATAGAGCTCTTTAACTCGTCGAATACAAATTGTTTTCAAGTTTTTTTCGACCGGAAATTGAACTTTTAGAGTTTATACAATAAGATTCACATGAAAAAATACGGGTTTAACAAAGAAATCACCAATATAAAGGTTTTTTAGTAGAACGAGATTGATAAAAACTATGGTATGATAAAAAGACGATAATTTTTTTGGCGGGATAATTGAAGAATATGAATGATTCGAATTACAGACATACTCTAGTCCGAAACTTACTATGGTTCGTGACTTATTTTTGACACAGAATAGCTGTAGACTAAGGCTTACTCTAGATCCAGACTTATTATACAATTAAATTTGCTTTTGGAATAAGACTTAATTTTAGTTACAAACTTATCTTAATATCAGACTTATATTTAGAATCAGACTTACTTTAGTCTAGAACTTACATTTAGAATCAGACTTACATTTCAAGTCAGACTTACTTTCGTCCGAAACTTACATTTCAAGTCAGACTTACTTTCGTCCGAGACTTACATTTCTAGTCAGACTTACATTTCAAGTCAGACTTACTTTCGTCCGAGACTTACATTTCAAGTCAGACTTACTTTCGTCCGAGACTTACATTTCAAGTCAGACTTACTTTCGTCCGAGACTTACATTTCAAGTCAGACTTCCATTTCAAGTCTGTCTTACTTTCGTCCGAGACTTACATTTCAAGTCAGACTTACTTTCGTCCGAGACTTACATTTCAAGTCAGACTTAAATTTCAAGTCAGACTTACTTTCGTCCGAGACTTACATTTCAAGTCAGACTTACTTTCGTCTGAGACTTACATTTCTATTCAGACTTACTTTCGTCCGAGACTTACATTTCAAGTCAGACTTTCATTTCAAGTCAGTCTTACTTTCGTCCGAGACTTACATTTCAAGTCAGACTTACTTTCGTCCGAGACTTACATTTCAAGTCAGACTTAAATTTCAAGTCAGACTTACTTTCGTCCGAGACTTACATTTCAAGTCAGACTTACTTTCGTCCGAGACTTACATTTCAAGTCAGACTTACATTTCAAGTTATACTTACATTTCAAGTCAGACTTACATTTCATGTCAGACTTACTTTCGTCTGAGACTTACATTTCTATTCAGACTTACTTTCGTCCGAGACTTACATTTCAAGTCAGACTTACTTTCGTCCGAGACTTACATTTCTAGTCAGACTTACATTTCAAGTCAGTCTTACTTTCGTCCGAGACTTACATTTCAAGTCAGACTTACTTTCGTCCGAGACTTCCATTTCAAGTCAGACTTACTTTCGTCCGAGACTTACATTTCTAGTCAGACTTACTTTCGTCTGAGACTTACATTTCTAGTCAGACTTACTTTCGTCCGAGACTTACATTTCTAGTCAGACTTACTTTCTTCCAAGACTTACATTTCAAGTCATACTTACTTTCTTCCAAGACTTACATTTTAAGTCATACTTACATTAATATCAAACTTATATTAACCTACGACTTACTTTTATTCCCAGACATCTTGATCCACACTGACATTGAAAACCACTCATACATCTAAAGCCACTCAAACATCTAGATCCACTACGACATGGAGATCCACTCAAACATAATTTTTGCTCTCTAACTACATTTTTATATGATTTTACAACCTAAATTTTCTTCTTTACCTAAAGATTATTCGCAATATCTGAATATCATTAATTAATTGAGATATTCAAGTTTTGACAGCGGATTTGGAAAGCAGACTTGATGGAGATTTTAAATCTGATGTCAAATCTTGGTTTTGTGCATTATTGGAAGAGAAAAAAGGGTGTTAATTGCAAATCTTAAATATAGGTTTCTACGAAAAATGTAATTAGGGTTAGAATCATAGAAAGATATATCTGTCAGACATTGTTATGTGTGACAGATAATATTGCATCTCATAGACACTGTTGCATCTGTCAGACACTGTTGCATCTTTCAGACACTGTTGCATCTCATAGACACTGTTGCATCT